CTCTCTCATACCTCGGAAACCGAAATATCGTCCCCAAACTATCCGAGTAACTACGACAACAACCTCAATATCTTATGGCGGGTACAGGCACCCGAGAACTCCCGAGTCGTCGCCACTTTCAACGATGTTTCCCTCGAATATTACTATGATAACCTCGTCGTCGGTTTCGGATCGGGGCCCGATGGTGCCGGATCTGTCGTAATGGCCCGGTTTACTGGTACAAATTACACGTCTGAAGTAAGATCACCTGGTGATACCATGTGGATTTTATTTACCAGTGATGTATCAAAGACAAATCGAGGATTTGATGCGCGCCTGACTGCTGTGGAGCGTCCAGGTAATTATTATGATGATAAATAATATTTGCGATTATTGGCTAATTGTTGCTATTTTTTGCATTATATGTTATGCATAAATGTTTTGTTAATAAATATTATTTTCTATGAATGTATCCCCGACAGTTGTAAGCACATAAATTTCAGCTTTTAGCTGCAGTATGTGCATCATTGTATTCTATATTTTTCGAAATAAACCTTGAAATTAATTGAATAGAAGTATGCGTAGGATTATATTAATTAAACTAAAACATACGAGGAAATAACACACATATCATCAGTAGAAGTCTGTATTTAAAGTCTACACATATGTTGTTATAGCAATATTGTACGAGCAATAATAGAAATAACAATATACCATACAGTATTAGTAGCAGAATATTTAAAATGGCTGCAGTCTGAAAAAAGTAGCCCATAATGTGGAATAGCCTATATATAACTATTGTTACATCTAACTTTGAATTCATTCTAGCGTAACAATATTTTAACGTGTTCCTGTTGTCCCTATCACTTTCATATGCGAATCTCTTTTTATAATGTAAAAAAACGCTTTTATTAATTGTTATTTATATTGTTATTTAATTAAATAACAATACACACAAAACACGATAGATATCCACGGTATAAACAATTTACTCAATTAACTTATATAGAATAAACAAAATATGTGGTACATACCTTTAATAATCAATAACTACGTGATGGCTACAATCATTCAATATTGTAAAAAACAAACAACTAGGTTAGGTAGGTATAACCAAATTATGATTACATTTGCCATTATATCATCGATCTCTATAGACCATTTCTCCCTATTATTCTCTCCTAACTTGAAATTCCAGTTTGCCAAGGTGATGAGTTTCAATGCAAAAGCGGGCTCTGCATTTCTCCTGCGCAAATATGCGACGGCTTCAACGACTGTCTGGACTTTTCAGACGAAGATTCATGTCGTAAGTCACATAAATTAGCTATTTGTTCACCCAGTTATTTACAGTGATGCGCTACCACGAAGAAGGGTCACACGGAAAGAATTAACGAGTTTTTAAAGTTAACTAAGGGCTGGGGATAACATTAATTTTAACTAGTCAAGCTGGCGTAACCTCGGAGTAAGTTGCGTCCCTATAATAAATAACTTCGAGTGAGGACACCCTGCTGACTCCTGCTTGTAGTTATTGCGCTAATCTTAAGATCTGCCGTGCTGTGTAATTTCAAGTTAACTTAAAGTTCCCTGCCAACGAGTGCGTTCGTACGGTAGTTAAATACACTATAACGTGTATGTAACCACGACATTAACTTCAAGTTAACGGACCGTCGTTTGAACATCTCTACTTGTCACTAAGGCGCCCTTTGACGCATTAACATAAATATTGTGTTTGAAATCAGCCAATCAATCCGACAATGAAGGTTTGTTCATGCTATTAAAACATGTTAAGTACATATCCTTTTACATCAAATCTAGCCGAAGCTGGATTTTCATATTGACATATATGCGTCAGCATTATACAAATTTATATTTGTTTAAAGAACTAACATGTTAAAAACAGATAACTATATGCCTAAACATACTGATCTGCCATATGACTTGGTTATAAATTATATTCGTTGAAATATACGTTTTTGCCTCCCGCATCACTGAGATGTATCTTACCTTATGACAATGCTACAATAGTATACAAATGTTGTTACTTCTAAAAATCTTCTTTTTCCGACTTGAAGCGATTTGTGAGGCAGTAAAACTAGAGGTTTGCAGGGAAAGATTGGCTTACAACACCACCATCTTCCCGCATCGCTTGGCACAAAACGCACAGGACGCAGAAAGAAACTTTACAGAAATAGTAAGTTTACACCCACCCCCCACCACCCCCCACCCCCCCCCCCCTCCCGAAAAAAAGGAGAGAGAATATTTTTTTGTTAATGAATAAATACAAATCTAGGGGTGCTCCATTACATGGATCTCGTGGTCTAGTGGATAAGTTAATGGACTACAAAGCACACGATACGGGGTTCTAATAATTTATACTGTCATCTGGCAAAACTTTCATCTTCATCTGTCACTCTCCACCCCGGTGAAGCAAAGAGGTACCCGTTAGGAATTAGTTCCTTGAAATACAAGAGCGCCATAATAGCGCCGGGGTAATAATAGTGGAGTGTGATGAGAGTCAAGTATAACATACACGAGCGCTATACAAGAACCCGATATCCGTATTATCATTTGTTTAAAACTGTTATTGAGATCGAGTTGCTTGATGAAGCACAACCTGACCTCTCTCTTCTAGCTGAATATACAATAATTATGTTTGTAATAAAATACCTATGAATCCTTTCAATCCTTTAATATCAATATTGGACTCCATAGCCTTTGGGCTATTCTTCGCTTCGTTGAAGTTGTAAACATCTTTTATGGTAATTATGGCTATCGCACTTGATAAAGGCTTTAGGCCGGCCTTAGGTCTGAGGTATATTTTGGTTTTCAAATGAAAATGGATAAGACATTTGCATAGTCAAGTATGCGAGAGCTGTGGAATGTGACAGTAGTTATAGCTTTGTGTCGTCGCCTATCGACTCACAATCCCTTTTCACCCGTTTAAGTAGATGGAAGTTAACCTAGAATTACGTTTATAGGTTTAACGGCGAGTATTCGAACGAAAAACAAATTTGAACTTATAATTGTTGGAGCCCTATGCATTTCTGGGATAGTTTTTTTTCTTAAGTACGTGCAAAATTGATTTGTCCCGATTCACGTTATTTGAGAAAGTGACATATTAAAGCTAACACATAAAAATATACAACAAATACCCCGAATATCTGTATAATTATGGTCCCTTCCTCCTCCTCCCCCCCCCCCCCCCTCCCAAAAAAAAAAATAAATTGAGGAAAAACATAATAAAAATCAAACCCCACCTAATAGCATATGTAAGTTTTTTTTAAATACATATTTTTGGAAGGATTAAAAGTAAAAGACGCAAAATTCGTGAGGGAATATTTCATATTGGGCATCTACCTTCCAAATCGTAGGGGACGCCCCGCCCCCTTCGCCGGATTTTGGTGAATGATTACGGCTCTATATTGCAGGGCACAACATGAAGCGTCATAAACGGTGTTGTTCTATTTTTTAATTATCCAGGTATCCAGCATTTCGTCCTGTCACGAAAATCTCTTGAGCCTGACCTGCAACCTAATGTTTCCGGAATGCACCCATAACGGCCCCGCCCAAAGGGTGTGCTACTCGGATTGTGTCGCCATCACGGAAGCCTGCCAAGAACCCTTCGAACAGTCCCTCAACCGTCCCTGGCCCTTTGACTGCTCTCGGTTGACAGACGACTATGCTGGTGAAGGTCTATGTTTTGCTGCAGAAGGCGGTAAGGTCAACATCTAAATCAGGGGCGGCCGAGCGAGGGGGGGGGGGGGGGCACCAAGAAAAAAGGGCACCTATAAAGGGAAATTTCAAACCGAAAATACACAATCTTTTAGACATTGGTATATACCCCTACGTTGTGATTACATTATCAGGGATGATTTTAATATTTGTTTTACTTTACACACCATACAAGATATTGCTTAAGCATCGTGCTTTGAAGCTGGGTGTGATGGTCTGACAAATTATTTGCGAGCGAGCGAGGACAAAATGTATTATTTGTGAGATCGCAGTGCGAAAAATTACATCTTATAAAGAAGAAAAAATCTATCCTTATGGGGTTATAAGCACATTCTCATAACGGAAGACTGAAAAATATTTTAATAAGTGATATAAGTATATCATCTATAGCCGCATGAGAGCGTAGCGAGCGAGCTTCGGCAGAAATTGCTCCTAGTCGCTTGAAATTTGGGGCGCGTTTAACGATGAGAGGAAAAGGGGACACTTATCAGAAAAGAAAATGAGCATGTGTCTAAGTACAAAGGGTTTTAAAAGGTGCAAGAAGTGCCCCATTTTCACCTCTGATAATTACTCTTTGTACTTTGAAACGAGCTCCTTTTCTTTTCTGATAAGTGTCCTCTTTTCCTCTCATCATTAAACGCGCCCCTGATTTCAAGCGACTAAACAGCACCTCCCCCTAAAGCACGCTCACTCCGCTCGCTCGCATTTATAGATGATATATTTATGTTACTTATCAAAGGTCTTTACAGTTTTCCGTTATAAAATAAAAATCTGCATATAACCCCATTAGGATTGGTTTTTTTGCTCTTTATAAAATGTAATTGTTCGCACTGCGCCCTCACAAATCTTTAAAAAAATTCTTCGCTCCATTCGCTCGGTCGCAAATAAATTGAGGACCATCAAACTCAGCTGCAAAGTATGATGCTTATTAATATCTTGTCTTGTGTACAAAGTGAAACAAATATTGAAAGCATCCCTGATAATGTAATCACAATTTAAGGGTATATACCAATGTCTAAAACATTATATTTTTTCGTTTTGAGATTTCCCTTTGAAGGTGCCCTTTTTTTCTTGGTGCTCCCTCCCACTCTAACTTCAGAAGTCGCTTGGCCGCCCCTGGCCAAAATGATGCATTTCCCGCCCCTTGATCGCATATGAATCGTTGAAAATCTTATCACTCGTTAAAAGATCTTGATAACTCGTTGGTAGATCGGTACAAGTCGTACACAAGTCATCGCAACTCATACCGAGCTCGCGTGACTCGTACATCCATCGTAGGAAACTCGATAATGCGTCGTATGATATAATTCATGCAAATACCATACAAATTAGTAAATTTCAAGCAAGTTCAGGCTCGGGCCAGCTCGCCACAACTCGAGGCTCCAACTCGGCTAAAGTGGGAGCCCTGCTTGATTGTTTCGTACAACCCTTGACTGTAGTTTATATTGTATTCAGCATCATTACTTAAAAGATCTTTTCGATACCAATATCTGATGACTAACGGTCATCCTGTTCGGAACATCAGTATGTAGGAGTGTCGAAGTCGAGTGGTTTTAGCACTTGAAATGAAATTCAAAGGTCATGGTTCGATCCCGACGCGGCACTAATGTCCTTTGGCAAGGCATTAATCTTCATTTACCACACTTGACCCAGGTGAGGTAAATGGGTACCTGGCAGGAATTAATTCCTTGAAATCATGTGCTGGAGCGCTGTAAGGGCAGCTAGGCTAAAGCCGGGTAAAAATTAGTGCGCCTCGGAATAGAATGTCTAGATATACGGCGCTATGGAAATGCCTAATATTATTATTATTATTCTTTTATCAGGCCTCCATCTCACTTCGCATACATAACTTGATTAACCAGTCCCTCTCAGGACTTCTCTTTAATACGAAAGAAGAACTCTCTTATAATCTCTCTTATATATACCTCTATCCGTACAATACCAAATAGTTATCCATATGACAAAACAAAATTAACACCTCACTCTCACTCTCTTTCTTTTCTATTCCTTTTCGAACTCAAACAGTTCTATCAGGACTATCCATATGGTGAAACTGCAAAGTTATGAATTTATGACAAATAATTATTCTAAGAATACCGGTAAGTTAAGAAGCAAAAAGGTAGTGTCGTATAACCCTTGACTCTTGACTGTAATTTATATCGTATGCAACATAATTAATTTCTTCACAGATCTGTTTGATACCAGTATCTGCGGGACACGCCCTGCCTATACCCTCGGCCAATCCAGGATTGTTGGTGGTATCAATGCACGCCCAGGGGAATTCCCTTGGATTGGATCTTTGAGGGAAAATGATGGCTCCGATAGAGGTACTTTCTTCTGCGGCGCTACTTTGATTACCTCACAATGGGTGCTCACGGCTGCCCATTGCGTGTAAGTATTATACAATAACGGCCCTCTGTTCTGACACCAATCTTTTCCAACATCCCTATGTCCTATAACCTCACATCCATAAACATTAATACTTTCATGAAAATTCATCTGTATTGGTGATATTTGTTTTCATAAACTCCCGAATGTCTAGTTGAATACATGTTATTTCATTATTATGTTCTCCTGTTATTGCGTATTGTACATATTTCGTTTTTTTGATTTGTAAAAGAATTCTCAATTCGGATTTTAGCCGCGATTCAATTTTAAGAATAATAACGTGTTTTTTATTGATAAACCATTGCAGCTTCAACAACGTCGATTTCAATTTCAATAACATAGGTTCATAATTATCCTCATTTCAAATTGTACTCAGTCCTTAATCTACCTTAAGCTAATAGAGAACCAGAGGGATTTAATATATTTTATAAACTGTCTCCTTCATTAGATGTTTTAAAGAATGTTCTCAAAACTCTCCTAATCACAGATTATCTGTGTTTGCCCAATAATAATAATAATAATAATAATAATAGTGGGTTCTGGTATAGCGCTCATCTCTGTCAGACTTGACACACCTGGCGCTCCCCAATTATTACCCGGCTTTTCTGTTGAAAAGATCCTGGAATATAATGGACTACGATTTTAAGTGATCCTGTTCAAAACGGGAAAAATAATGCTCCTATCCTTTCAAATGTTGCTTTCCACAAAGCTTTTTTATTTTCAATTCAGAATTTAATACTTGGGGTCAACATATATTGTTATACTTCGGGTTTGGCTGATTCTAATTTATGTACATTTTGCTTATCTTCTGTCAAAAGTATTTCACACTTGATTTGGGATCGTTCTCTATCCATTAGTTTGTTCAAGACTCCCAAGACTCTCTTCTTAACAATGCAGTGCATAATTTAAATTTTAAAAAAATTGTGTTTGTTTGGTTTTCTAGATGGTGAACAATGAAGCTTTAACCTTTTCATTTTTTGTGCAAAACTATATATATTCTCGACAAAATCGAAAGGAGAACGGTTTTCTTTAGGTTCTCTCAAGAATATCTGAAATGTCGTTGTGAAGTTGAGCGGGTTCTTTGTTTAAAACACAATAAGCTTGTTTTATCAGTAGATAATATGACACATGTACAACTGCTGTAACCATGTTTTTTGTTTTTTACCACTATGTCTTATTTGTTTGAATAATTGTCAGATCAGCATCCAGGGGCCTGCCTTAGGGCCCTTGGTGGGGTCCAGGAGGCAAAGCCCCTGGAAGCTAAGGGGTTTTAAGTATTTGATTACGGTCAGATGAGCATCCAGGGGACCGCCTTAGGGCCCTTGATGGGGTCTGTGGGCGGAGTCCCCATAAGCTTTGGGGTTTTAGGCATTTAATTACGGTCAGATGAGCACATTTTGATACCTCATTTGTGACCTGGCAGGTCACTTATTTTTTCTCTCTCTCTTTCTTTCTTTTTCTATGTAACATACTTTTTCAAAAAGTGAACCCCCGAGCCCAGCCGTTCTGCAGGCCCTGAAATGAAGGCTTCTAAATAAGTATATTTTTCGCCCGACTGTAAATTTGGGAATTTCTAATTTTTCCAACAAACGCATAAAAAGGTATGACTTACAAAAAATTGAGACAAAAATACCGGAAAATCATGAAATTTCAGCAACACTTATAAATCACTGGTATCAAATAAGAAATACCCCCCCCCCCCCCTATAAGTGCGCCAGCGTTCAGGGGCTCCTGTCTTTTCACCCCTATAACAAAAAACACACACGCTTTCCCATCCTCTCACAATATTTCCACGATATGCGCGTATCGCTATTATAAACGCTCCATTGACAAATATAGGTGGCATGCGGAATGTTTAGGAAATTTAATTCCTGTTAACTTTTCTTTTCTTTAAATGGAAGGTTATATGTGATTCAATTCAGGTTTGTATTATTGTTATGATCTTTTGAGTTAAGGATTCAAACCATCTTTACTCCTTTACTGATTTTCTTTTGGTTGGGGGAGCGTGTGCCCTCTGCCCCCTCCCCCCTTCCCCTCCCACCCCACTTCCGGTGCCTGTGTTCGTGCTTGGTTAAATAAATAAAGTCTGTCATTGAAAGAAAGAAAACAAAATCATTTTAGTAAAGGGCGTATGGGCTAAGTGCCTTCAAACGTTCGAATTAACGCAGCAATAACGCTGTCGAAGTGACGCATCGTGCGCAACGGCTGTACCGTCGAAAAATTGCTTTTTTTTTTTTTTTTTTTTTTTTTTTTTTTTAATTAGGTTTGATTATCATATAATAACGAAGTCACAATGACGCCTCGTGTGCAACGCGCTTTATGGTTTAATCGCAATTATGCCTAAGGTACTAAATGGCTCTATCGTTTTGATATTTTCCATCCAGAACATACTACGTCGATCGGGTGATCTTCGGAAACCTTCGGCTGTCAGGTGAGTCCGAGTACGAAGTGAATGCCGAAGTGGCCGATATCATCATCCATCCCGACTACGACGGCGAGACCATCGACGCGGACATCGCTCTACTGCGTCTAACTGAGCCCGTGTCTTTCAGTGATTACGTTAGGCCAGCATGTCTAGCCTCATCGTCAAATGAACTGAGTGATTATCGTCGATGCCTCGTCGCTGGTTGGGGCACTATCTCTGAAGGGGGAGGTACGGCATTTTAATCTTTGATTTTTGACGTTGATGAGCCTATGTTCGTACAAGCCTATGTTCCAGCAATATGTATGTGACTGCATGCATGGATATGTTTTACTTAGACTGACCAATATAATATTTTTTTATTTTAGCACTTGCTTGCGTGGCCTGTTTTATAGGGAAGGCGACACACGGGGTCGTCGGATCAGATGAGTGTCGTATGCAATATAAAATAGAAGCATCTTTACACAGGGGTTGCGGAATATTGGCATTTTGGAACATAGGAGTGTTAGTACATAAAGGTGTCGGTAGACAGGAGAGGGGTCGGAAGTTAGGGTGGAACCGGAACGTACACCCACAACAAAAAGTGAGTCACCCTTACTCAAATTGATGAGTCACTGGTTTGTCCGTACAGCGAAACACTTGAAGGATCATGTGAGTCACTATGACTCGATACAAATGAGTCTTATTTATCTAAGAGACTCATTTGTATCGAGTCATAGTGACTCACATGATCCTTCAAGTGTTTCGCTGTACGGACAAACCAGTGACTCATCAATTTGAGTAAGGGTGACTCACTTTTTGTTGTGGGTGCATCATGACCAGGGGCGTACGCAGGGGGGGTTTGGGGGTTCAAACCCCCCCCCCCCTTTTGTATTTTTATGTGTGTAAACCCCCCCCCCCTAAAAAAACCTAAACCCCCCCCCCCCCCCTTTGGATTTTTTTGTTTTTTTTTTTTTTAATTATTAAAAAAATATATATATATATATGCCCACGGCTAACATAAAAAAGGTGACCTTACCCCCCCCCCGCTCCCCCCCAACGAGGAAAATGCCAAATTTTCAAATTTCGAGACCAAAAAAAAAAAAAAAAGTGTCCGCTTACCCCACCCCCCCCCCCCCCCCCCCCCCCCCCACTGAGCGACTTTTCGGCTGGCTGAGTCGTTGCGATTTTTTTTTGGACTCCAAAAAAAAAAAAAAAAATTGTCCGCTTACCCCCCCCCCCCCCCCCCCCCCCCCCCCCCCCCCCCCCCCCCCCACTGAGCGACTTTTCGGCCGGCGCGATTTTAAATTTTTCGGGAACAAAATATTTTGGGCCCGATTTTAACCCCCCCCCCCCCCCCTTGAAAAAATCCTGCGTACGCCCCTGATCATGACATAGACCCCCCCCCCCCTACTCCCTAGGCCTATCACACACATACCATACCATGCCAGAGTCACTGTCCACATTTGCAATGGAAAATATATCCTAAAATATCACATTTTAGCGATGTAATCGGTGGTCCCGCTACCCGAATCTGAAAAATCTACTTTGTACGCACTAAATTAAGCCTTAACTTGAGATTTATTTGTCACCCATACTGTCACGAAACTATCTTGAATTAATTCGTTTTACATCAAATAACAAGGATCTAGGAGTTTCGTTGTATAAAACAATGATGCAAGATCATGCATGTTTTCATTCGACACGGCTTCGTGCGATACAGTATACAAATATTGACTGCTCATGAGGATGATGGTGGGAACTATCACTCCCAAGGTGGTGTTCACACCGGCCCTTCTATCATCCCCGAGGCGAAGCCGAGGGGGTGATAGAAGGGCCGGTGTGAACACCACCGAGGGAGTGGTAGTTCCCACCATCATCCGATTACAGAGCAGTCCATATTTGTTTTATATACCTCATCCTTTTTATTGATTCATGATTAGTTCTAGCTGTATGTCTAGATCTAGCTCTAAAAAACAGGAAACGAGATCAAGAGGAATTCACTCACCAGAATAAGAAAAATCCAACATCAAGTCAAAATTAAAGGCAAGAGTATTGAATTCCTACGCGCTGCGCGTAACCGTGCGCGCGATTGTGGTAGCCTAGCAACTCAAAAAATTGGTGTGCGTAACTAAGTCGCGGGAGGGGTTAGGGGTCCTATCCCGGGGTTTGATAGTAGCTATCAAACCCTCTGACGTAATAATACTTGATAGATCGAAATGCTCTTTGACATGTGATATTGTTTTGACCAATCAGTGAATGACAATCTATGTATGAGGTATATAATAGAATCTATACACTATGAACATGACTGACAATGAGAGCGGACAAAATATACAGTTCCTCAGGTAGACAAAGAAACATCCCTTCACAGCTATTATGTAAAAAGGTGAATATGCATGTGATACCTGTTATACACATTTTTACAGCAGTAAGGGATGTTCCTTTGTCTACCTGAGGAACTGTATATTTTGTCCGCTCTCATTGTCAGTCATGTTCATAGTGATAGTTAAGTTACACACAGTAAACTCGAGTGCGGATATCGTAAAATGAACGCATGCATCATTTGTATAATAATCAGAAGATTCAGCCCACGAATCCAGTCATAAAAATCATCGTTTAAAACCATATGAATAATTATGCGTACCAATTTTTCACTAGCTGCAGTCAAAACTCTTCTGAATCCAAGATATAAGATGGCGACGTCGCGTCATCGATCGGGAATTCAAATATGGCTCGAGAATGCGCATTTTGGATGACGTCACGAAAGCATGCGCGCGCATGCATACAGCCTCACTTTCAAGTTGACTCACTTTTTTCTTCTAAAATGCTCTTATGTCGATCTTGACTCATTTTTTACGACCATGTGAGTCAGTCGAAGCATTTTGCAAATGCGTCAGCTCATGATTGACACACTGGTGAAATATAAATGAGACAATAGAGATTCATTGGTTGTTACTAATGAGTCAATTTACACCTGACTCACGAAAATTATGCTTAAATGTGTCAAATGACTCACTTTTTGTTGTGGGTCCATAGCACGTGGGGGGGTAAACTGAAACAAAGTGATGGCCAACCATAGGGATGTCGAAGAGTAGTGGTAATAAAACAAAGGGATGTCGAAACGTAGCGATGTCGAAACATAGGGGTGATGTCTGATGCAACTTAGAGTTGTCAAAATATAGGGATGTAGAAACATAGTGGTGACGCAACTTAGACATGTCGAAACATAGGGGTGTAGAATCATAGTTGTTATTGTAACTGACCTTTTCTTGAGTGGTGATGTATAAATACAATCAGTATTGCAACATAGAAACACGGATCATATTATTTACTCATCAACATGATCAAGAAGGCTAAGTTTATGAACTTTTTATACAGATATTGCGGAGACCTTACAGAAAGCGGTGGTAAATCTTCTGGACCAAGAATGGTGCGATTCCGACAGTTCTTACAACGGCACGCTGACGGATAACATGTTATGCGCTGGGTATGAACGGGGAACGATCGATACCTGTCAGGTAAAAAAAACTCAAATTATATATTTTAGTGTTGTCAAAAAGAGGGTTAATTTTGCGCAGTCTCCCAAGATATACATGGATAGTCGAGATATGAGAACGAGGAGATGACGGAAGATGTGTGAGAAGGAAGATTACGATGAGGAGGGAGTGGAGAAGAGAGAAGGAGGAGGAGGAGAACCTTCAGCAACAACATACACTCCAATCGAGAGACAAATGCAGACACGACAATTTTCTATGTATTTTTAAAATGAAAAGGAAGAAGGAAGAGAAGAAGGAAGAAGAGAAAGAAGAAGATGATGGAGGAAAGTGAGGGATAGAGGAGGAAGAGAACGAGGGAGAATGGGGGCAAAGAGAAGAAATGTGACGAGGAAGAAGGGGACGAGGGGGAAAAGGAGGAGAATGAGTTCGGGGTGAGAAGAAGTAGAGTAGGAGGGGAGGAGGAAACACTCTTTAATTCCTATAATATTGTTTACCATATGTCACCAGGGCGACAGCGGTGGGCCTTTGACCTGTGAAGGTGATGATGGTCGATGGCATCTGGTCGGAGCAACAAGCTTTGGATATGGATGCGCCAGACCACTCTTCCCGACTGTCTTTACCCGAATCTCACAGTTCCAGCCATTTATTACAGCTGTGGTTTTGGGTGGTAGGTATTGGTCGTTATGCCATCTCGCGTTTTCTGATCAGACTACAACGACATCTTGGAAAAAGTCGATTGAAGAGTTGCCACTCGCTCATTCTCGGGAAGTTAGAATAATATTCATCATGATCTCTAAAACTGAAGTCTATTGTTAGAATCTGTTTTTGTGAACTTTCCAATTAGTCTTTTTAACACGTAGAGATCAATTCATGATTCAAACCATTCAGTTTTTGTCTCTGTAGAAATTATGACATTTTTAAGTTCGGGGTCAAGCAGTTTTATTTTGAAATCACTTTTTATTTTTTGATGTGAATCATCAAAATGTCTATAATGATAATGAAATCATATCATATTATTACAATTTAAGATTGATTTTCATGTGACAGTTAATACTTATGTCTCGATCAAGTCAAGAAAAAATTGTGAAACATCAGTCATAAATGAGAAGATGACAATGATTTTATCCTAATTTTATTCTCTCATCAGCATACTCACCGGGGATCTACGAAATCGACCTTGACGACGGCGTTCCCACATCCATCGCGTCGCCGAACTACCCGATGAACTACGACACCGATGACGTCATCGTCTGGAAGATATCGGCCCCGGTCGGCCGCAGCGTAAGACTGGACGTCGTTGAATTTTTCCTTGAGACCAACTACGATTATCTGTACGTGGGCAGTGGACCGTTTCCGCAAAGTTCTACCGAGTTGGCGATAATGACGGGTTATGTCGTCAGCAGGTCTGTGACGTCACACGGACGTCACATGTGGATGAAGTTTGTCAGTGATGAGTCATATACTGACGCTGGGTTTGAGGTGGAACTGAATTCCGTGGATCCAAGAGGTAAATCTATAACCCCCTGCAAAATATTTTCGTTTTCTTTACTCTCAAAGCTTGTCGGTATTTTACGTCCTCATGATGATTTAAATAAAAATGAAACCTTAATACCTCTATAATATTTTTTATCGAAAATGTAAGGCATCATTTGCGTCTGGCTAACAGCTTATTGAAGAAAGTATTTTTTGTCATTACTACACCAAAACTTGATATTTGATTTTGGAAGTGTAAAGAGAATAACCACTGATCTCCGTTGGAATGTGTCTCAAGTACATGTTTCTCAAAAGAGTACATGGCTCCCTTTTCCCCACAATTTGATTTCATTTAAAATACAGAATTTAGTGCAGTAGATTAAGCCGTGGGTAAATTTGTTGTTGACTTGTGACAGTTGGTATTCATAGCAAGGTTCACTCGATTATTAATCAACCGATAATTTCCATTGACCCCTTTTAAACTTAAACAGCACTTTAAAAGACATATTTTTTCTTTCTCTCTCTTTCTTTATCTATATTTCTATTTTTACCTCTATTTCTCTTTATATCTTTCTCTCTCTCTTTTTTTCTCTCTCTCTCCCTCTCTCTCTCTCTAACTATCTCTATATTTACCTCTCGTTCTATCTCTATCTCTCTTTCTCTCTTCGTATAGATGATAATCCAGTCATATTCGTCGAGGCCTACATGCCTACTAACACGGTACAGATCTCTTCCCCTAATTACCCTGCAAACTACCCTGCCAACTTTTACAACATCTGGCGAATCGTTGCCCCGGCTAATTACACAGTCTTGGCCCTGATCCTTGATGTTGATCTCGGATCCGGGGATGATACACTGATCGAGATCGGCCGCGGGACCAGTCCTCATACGGGCACGATCCTGCAAACGTTAACAGCTGATGACTATATTTTGGGGATCGTCTCGTCACCGAACAACGCCCTCTGGATAAGGTTCCAAACAGGGAATCAACCAAGCGGAAGGGGTTTCGTCATGCAAGCAGTCGCTGAACGATTAGCAGGTTCTTTAACATTTCATTTTAGGGAGTCATTAATCTCATTTTATCCAGGCTTGCCTTTTAATAAACAAACATCCGGACTATAAAAATAAAACCATGTATACCTCATACGATGATAAATAACTATACGACCTGGATAGTAGTTTTAATGGCATTTACAAGTCATTTAAAAGTTAAACTCATCAGATACATGCAACAACAAAAAAGTGTGAGATTCATCATACGAAAGTATATTATTCTACCTTTTATCTAAACACCCAGTCAATCTGTTCTGATTTGTTATTAAGAGAACAATGGAACACTTGTATACAGTACATACTAGTGGGATGTCTAACCGATGTACAACGGTAAACTTGATAACTTGATAGATAATTGATAAGGCCTTTCAAAAAAAAAATTGTATTGCCCTCTGCGACCGACCCCAAAATCTTGAAATCTACGGTCCGCTTGTTACCGTTTTTTAGAGAAAAAAAATATTAAAGCATTTAAAACTGAGAAATATCAACCCAACGAGGGAGAAAAAAAGATTTCCGACCGACCGACCCATGCACCGAAAGGGCAAAACAACATTTCTTTTAGGCCTTACTTCATTGCTTACATTCGGTGAATTTTGCTTTTCACTAGTAGTACTGATAAGAAAAACGATGAACATATAGGTAATCAAAGAACACAGCGGAACAAAATCCTCCAAAAGATATTCTTGCTCACTGAATTCGTAACCATAACTGTTCCACGACATTCAATACCGATATGTCTTGTACGTTTAATCTATGTTGTTCTATCTACAGATGTAAATGAATGCGAGAGAGATCCTTGTCGAAATGGAGGCAGTTGCACGGATCTCATAGATGGTTTCCAATGTAGTTGCCTGGATGGATACAAGGGAAAACATTGCACTCAAGGTTAGTCATATATGTGGAGGTGTCGTGGTTAAGTGTTTTTTCACTTCCATTTCAAATCAAGAGGTTGAAAGTTCAAATCCCGACCCGGCACTAACGTCCGTTTAATAACAAGAAATGAAAAGCTGAAACTTTGATCGTAACTGTAGGTTAACGTGGAACTGGGGGGGGGGGGCTTCTTTATGCTTCTTGAATCAGCGAATTAGGTCCGTCCTCCTTAAAAACGTTTTAGAGATGACTTTTCCCGTTCCCTTTCCCTTAAATATGCTATTATCCAATCCGTTCAAAATACATTTTCCTTACTTGCTGCTCCAAGATAACAATGAATGCTTGTTGAATCTGTGAATGTGGTACGTCCTCCTCCAAGACGTTTAGAGATGTCTCTCCCCGTTTTTCTCTTTTAAATATGCTATTATTCAATCCAAACAAAATACATTTTTCTTGATTGGTGCTCTCAGATAACAATGAATGTCGGTTCGAGAACCCCTGCTACAATGGAGGAACCTGTTCTAATGAATTCAGAAATTTCTCTTGTGATTGCCCGGAAGGATACATGGGATTGCTGTGTGAGATTAACGTTGGTAAGTATACATGTTGGTATATATTCCTGTTGGCCGTACGCTCTTGCTAACCTGAAATGAAAATAAGTGTGCTTGTTCATATGTTAAATCGGACAAAAACGGGATTCAGGCCGCTTGAAGAACCCTGCTGAGAAAGCAAGAATATGTAAACCTATAATAAACTGCATAGTTTATCTACGGTTCTAAGTACTAATTTAGATGATTAATACATTACGAAAGGGAACTAGCTTATCGACTAGGTTTCAAAACCTGTTTCGAACTCCAACCTATGAGGCTGACCTACTCTGAAACATCGTGCCTTCCCAAATTATTGATTGATTGATTCTTTTTAATAGAAAAAGATATGTAAAGTTATCAACTGTATCATAGCCTCACAGCAAGGCAGTAGCAGATTAGATTGTAATTTTATCTGAATTGGAATACTTTAATCTGTGTCCTCTTCAGCACTTGGTATATATGTGTATATATATTCAAAATCCAAGTGCAGTACGAGAGGCATAAATAGTCATTTATGACTGAAATACATTTAAGTACGATCAACAACAACAAAACTTGCATGCAGCAATCCCTGCATACATGGAGGGTCCTTGTTGTAACAAATCGTGTCAGAGTGTGCGTGTAGCTGTGCTCCAGACTAGCTGTATGGGACAAAACTGTGAAAGTGTAGTGTTAGGTGATTTTTTTTTTTAAAGTACAGGTTTGTTTGACGAGATTATAACTTGGAGAGAAGATTTGCAGGTCAACCATGTGGATAGTCCTGTAAAGGACTCAGAATCAATAAAGACTCGACGCTTCGGACGTAATTGTTGTGACAATTTACAGCTACCCATGAAGTGAAAAATGCAGAAACTGTTTTATGATCAGGTTTTGAATGCATTCAGGTTCAATGGTTTACATTCAGATGTAGTCAGTATCGTACCTGTTTATTTTATAGTCCAGCCAAGGCTGCAATTGTTAAAACAAAAGAATTTATCTTTAACACACTATTCGTGATGACATGTCTTTTTAATCAATGGAACACTTACAAGGTCGGAAATGACTTGTATTTAGCACACTTCAAGTTTCATGTAGACGATACTGACTTCATTAAACAAAGTGTGACAACTTATTAAGTAATCTTACACAACCAATCGTGTTGAAAAAATGCGTTCCTAAAGCATGGTTTGGAAGTCAACTCAAGTAAGCAGGATGAGGTTCCCGGATCAGTTCCCGATTGTGTCGACTCAAAATTTGCCAAATCGACTACATAAAAAGTTAGCCCGAGTGATTATGATATTGACAATTACAAATCAAAACGTGAAAGGTATTCTTATAACAGATTCAGATCTGAATGTTGTCTGCTTGGCACTAATTTTTCTGCTGCTTTCCTGTTTTAATACAGATGCTTGTCTCAGTAACTCTTGCGATGGTGCAGCCCGGTGTGAGGTTTACGGGGACAGTTACAGATGTGTGTGCAGACAGGGCTTTACAGGGTACAACTGTGATATTGGTAAGTTTACGAATCTACACACAACCATCAGATTAAATACATGCATATTACAAATGATTTGGAGAACAGCCTACTATTGAATGTTCACATAATGACAAATAGGGTAATCTTTGTGTCTTGCGAATCTATACGAAGTCTACACTAATGAAATCCACTTGTTTTGGATTGGGGTCACTTCGCTTTTGAAGTTAATTCTTTTCAAAAGAAAGTTCCACTATTATAAACGTAGATTTCTACTCCAAAGGAGTTTATCTCTAATTTGTCTCCTAAAACAGTGGACTTCGACTCTTGTATATCAAAAGATTATTTAGCTCGTAATATCACAGCATGCTCAACATCTAATGGATTCAATGAAGTGACATGATAAAATATGCCCATGAAAATCACTCGAACTTAGAAACTGAAATCAGATATCAATCTTCGAAACGCAACGAATTGAATAATACGTGCATTCTTTGTTTCTGATACAGTGATTTTATATATGTTGCAACGGTGTCGATATAACAATTATACATATACATGATATGCATAAGACCGTACCACATGTACAGGGACGGGCTGTGACTGACATTTGCTTTAGGAATTTAGATGCGACCGGCCCTTAAACCACAAATCAACCGACTCTCAGGCCAAAATATTGAAAGGCCTCTGGGGAGCATTCTTCCATCTTCCCCATGACACACCCCTTATCTACCTCTACATACTTCATAAATTCCAATCGCAATAAAATTCAAAATGTTCATACTCATCTATATAGATGTGAACGAGTGTTCAAGCCTTCCTTGTCAGAATGGAGGGCGCTGTGTCAACGGTCAGGGCCGGTACACCTGCCAATGCCCTCTGGGATATTTCGGCGGGAACTGCGAAAAAGGTAAATATTTTGATCACATGACTAAACGCGTGACTGATCACGTGACAGTGCTCTACAAGAGTAACGTCGTATGGTCACTATATTTCGAAAGATAGACAAAGGTTCCTAGTTTATATCTAGTCCAATAATCAGATATGCAATGTCATAAAAAACAATATCTGCAGATGAAAAAACAGGTTCTCATGTAAAATTATTCAATAACTAAATGTCAAATGTCGACGTGAAATGAAATTATAGCCCCAGAATGACAACTAATTATGATGACTCACATTGAGGGCAGATATGAACTTTCATTTGTTTATTCTTGGTATCAATAAATATTTAAAGACTGTTGGTATATCCCATTATGATTGTTGTATGTTTTGTTCCAAAGATATTGAACATGTTAGACACCTATTTTGAGAATGCCCCTTGTGTCGTCGATTCTTAGAAGATTTTTAAAAATATACCCCAAAACATAAAATTAACTGAACATTTAATATTTTCATCGTTTGCATCCCAAGTGGAAATTGTTCCTCTTTTAATTTCGTTATTTTGTATGCAAAAATATTGTATATTTTAAAATAGATATTTGAAGGGTTCTTTATCATTTCCATGTTCTTAAAAGAACAATCTATGAGCAAGATTCGGTTATACTATTTTATGCTTTGAGAAAAGTTGAATAAAGTCTTTATTTGAAAGAAAAAACAAATATTATAGGCTGAAAATTTTAATATAAACTTTTAGTAGCCTAATTAAAATGTATTCAAATCCAAATTTAATGTGTTGATTAACTTGATTCTAAACTATTTGTTATTTTCGTTATCCTTCTCCATATAAATCTACCGTCATATTGACAATCTACTCGTTAACAAACTGATTTGATATTGATCCTTAAACTATACGTTTGTACATGTATAAACGTCTTCTTCATTTCAATAGCTGGTTACTGTGATTTAGACGGGGAGTGGTACAATGATTGTAATGACAAGATAACCATCGTGAAGACATCAACCGGTCTTCTTCTTGGAGATTATATGACCAATGAAGAGATCCTTTTTGGCTCCTCAGGTATTAAGACCGTGATTTCTTTTAGCATTTTCACTCGATCATGTTGGCCCCTTAGAGGCCATTTTTTAATGCACACAAATTTGAGGTCCTACCCGAATTCACTCAGCTCAGTGTTAGAAGAAACAGATATGTGAAGCGTATTACATTAACCTCATCACAACAATTAAATCTGAAAAGGCTTTACGTATGCTCATTCCTTTAGTACCTGGCAACGAACTGTTATTATGTTCGATTATTATTTGATTATTGTATTTTATGTAATCATTGTATAACTTTCATTAGAAGAAAAAAAATCGATTATTACAATTTCTGGTTAGATTCCATAGTATCAATTTACTTTATGGCTCTTCTGTAAAATGTAATACAAATATTCAGATTGGGTGGTGTAGTACTATGTCTTGAAATACATATCAATGGACAAGTAACTGTGCACTTTCACATCCTAAGACCTTAATCATATCAGATTTGTACACTGCATGGAAGAGCTTACTGATACGACAGAGAAGAGAAGAAAACCATTGGCCCAATTCTTCAATACAAATTAACATAAAAAAATAACTGAGTACAAGCAGAAACAGAAATACACAACAGTATCACAACGTTAACGTTAAAATCACAGCAGGGCTTTTTTTTTAAACAGATCCTACGTAGTTCAGGGGGTGTCCCACAAAGACTAAGATCAACTTTAATTTGAACTTAACAATGGCAGGCCATTTGTGCCATTGGTTGCTCTCACCATTGGTATCTCAATTATAATCTTTAGGGTACTAGGACACCTACCCCCTGGACGTCCACCCCCGAATAACCACCCAAAGTCAACTACCCCTTAGGACAACTACCCCCTAGGGCAACCACCTTCTAGGACGACTATCCCCTTGGACAACTACCCCGGACAACTGCCCCAGTAAACTACTCCCTAGGACAACTACCCCCGGACAACTACCCCTAGGACAAATACCACCTAGGACAACTATCACCCGGACGACTACCACCCGAACAACTACCCCCCTACGACAACATTCCTCTAGGACAACTACCCCCCCCCTTACAACTATCCTAGGGGTTAGTTGTCCGGTGGGTAGTTGTCCTAGGGGTGGTTGTCTGGGGGTAGTTGTCCGGGGGTAGTTGTCCTACACGAAATGGTTACAATTTGGAGATTGTGTTTTCAGCATAATATTCATGTACTGTAATGCATTTGCTGTTAGCCATTTTGCCATAGACTTTGTACGTCTCTCACTGCTGAATCATCCAAGTGTATACTCTTTTCACTGATTGCTGGTGATTTATTGAGGGAAGCTACACAGTACACTGTACAATGGATCTGAGAGGGGGAGTTTCCATTGTGCTCCTTTTAATCCTTTTGAGCTCAACTGACTCTGGCTGTTGTGGGTGCTTTGCCTATTCACACTCACTTTCTAATCATGACTTCACTCCAACTTTGAAAGTGAAAGGATACTGTAATCAGCGAGTTTCATATTACAACAACTCATCAGCAACTTTTCAATTGACTTTACTCCTGTGTGGTGATATCAACCCCAACCCTGGTCCTGAGAAAGAAAATGGCTTGCACTGTAGTACACATGCAAGAAGAACATACGAGCGCAACGATCTGCACGAACTGAATTCGGCATGCACGAGGGAAACTTGTCTTACAAAGGTGGACAGAAATGTGTGGAACATAATCCACAAACTTGGGATTGCACGCAAGCGCAAAACTCACAGAGGACGAAAAGGCCGCCGCCATCACAATCTAATTCCCGTCCTTATCCGTGATAGAAATCCCCGGCGCTCTAGTTCTAGACCTCGAGAAAACAGACTTATCCACATAGAAACGCACCACCATCGCATATCCAAAAGCCTACCTACCGTGATGCTTTTTAATGCTAGGGTCACTTAGCAACAAGTTTAGTGACTTTGAAGCTGTCCTGAACACAACTCACACCAACTCCGATGTCATTGGAGTGACAGAAACGTGGTTTTCTGCAGCAAAACCTGCTTCCGCCTGCCAGTTGTCATCTTTTAAACTTTTCCACAACGATCGTGAAGAACGGCAGGGTGGGGGCGTTGCCTTGTACATCCGAGATGATATTAACTGCTGCGAAGTCTTCAGAAATGTTACTCCACCACACCTTGAGGCCCTCTGGGTGCGCCTCAAATCGTCTCGAACTGTTCAGCTAGCTAATGATATATATGTTGGCGTTATATACTCACCTCCACGTTCACCTTCCAGAGGAGAGATGAGTGATTATATCATCGCCGCCGTCGACAACATCCGGCTTCAGTCAGACAGTGCTACAATAGTCATCATGGGCGACTTCAATGACCTTGCTACCGATGATATTGAGCACCAGACCCTGCTATCCCAGGTGGTTACTGAACCAACCCGGGGCACTGCTACTCTTGACAAGATCCTTACGGACATGGCTGATGTATACAATGATCCTGTCATCTCGGCACCGATATCGTCTAGCGACCATTGCGTAATCACATACCGGCCACTTTCAGAAGTCCCTCCTAGAAAGTCGTTCAACATATCATTTCGACCTTTCCGGGACTCATCTGTACGTGCGTTTGGCCAATGGATTACGCTGATGGATTGGTCTACGCTTCGAGAATCTGATGCTAACGCCCTGGCTGCCGATTTCCACGAACTACTCAACATCAAGTACAGGCAATTTTTCGAAATTGTCACTGTGAAACGACGCCCTAACGACAAAGAATGGATTAATGATCGCATTCGCAGAGCCATCATTAAGCGTAATACTAGCTACAGAACCGGCTCAGCAACCTACAACGCGCAGAGAAACCTTGTCCACAGAGAGATAAAAGATGCTAAGGACAATTTCTATGCTCGCAAGGTGCACCATCTGAAAAGAGCGGAGCCCGGTAAATGGCATCAACAAATCCGCAATTTAGCCGGCCTTTGCAAAAAATCACTTTGCCTCTCATCCGACGACAAATCTGATAACGAAATAGCTAATGATCTGAATACACATTTCGCTAACATCTGTTGTACATTGCCTCCACTCGACCCGTTTGCTATGCCGGCATACTTACCTGCAGCATCACCGCCTCCGACGATCCTGCGACATCAAGTATACCACAAACTTAGCCGTATCAACACATCGAAGGCCTGTCATCCAGGCGAATGCCCTTCACGTCTTTTGAAGGAGTTTGCCTTTGAGCTGTCCGAGCCCTTAACCCACATTTTTAATTGCTGTCTAAGAGAGGGTTGTTTTCCTAATATTTGGAAAAATGCTTCTGTGTGTGCAGTACCGAAGGTTTCACCAGTGACTAGTTTTGACCAGCTACGTCCCATCTCGATTACCCCTATAATATCTCGCATCTTCGAAGGGTTCCTTGCTGATTGGATATTGTACGACATCAAGGACAAAATCGACCCTAAGCAGTTTGGTAACAGACGCGGTACTTCGATTGTGCATTGCCTCGTCAGCCTGTTGGACACCATCCATACAGGTATCGACACCTCTGGAACCTTCGCTAATCTGTGCACAATAGACTTCAGTAAGGCTTTTGACCACGTTAATCACGCGATTGTGATCCAGAAGCTGATTGGGTTAGGAGTAGATCGCTCTATCATCCCTACTTTATGTAGCTTTTTGTCTCAGAGAACGCAAACTGTCCGCTACCATGGAACAACCTCCCAGGAGAGATCCATCACTTGTGGAGTGCCACAGGGAACACGTTTGGGCCCGATACTTTTTTTGCTATTAGCCAACGATGCTGCACAGATGACTGAGAACCGCTGGAAGTACGTAGATGACCTAACTTTGTTGGAGGTCATTAACAAATTTCAACCGTCCCAATTACAGTCTCATGTCGATTGCCTTACTAGTTGGTGTCAGGAAAATGATGTTATCCCGAATGCCGCTAAGTGCAAGGCTATGCAAGTCTCCTTTCTCCGAACTCCACAGCATCCTCCTGATCTGCTCATCGACTCAGCTAGCCTGGAGATTGTTTCCGCGATTAAGTTGCTCGGGGTCATCATCCAATATGACCTCAAGTGGGATCAACAAGTCGATCGCATCATATCAAACGCGTCGAGGAGATTGTTCATCATCAATAAGTTAAAAAGGAATGGGGTCAACACTCAAGATTTGGTGACAATCTATCAGCTCTACATTCGACCGGTACTGGAGTTTGCGGCCCCCGTTTGGACTTCTGGTATAACGAAGGCTCAGGCTGAAACCATCGAACGTATTCAGAAGCGAGCCTTGAGGATAATCGTTTACCCAAATTTACTTCCATATAGTGAACTCCTCAAAACTTTAAAACTAGAATCCCTTAGTAATAGGCGTCTCGAACTAGCAACTAAATTTGCCAAATCAGTTTTAACCTCTCCTGACCATCGCCATCTTTTGCCACAAAGTAGAGAATCAATCACAGGTCGCAATCTTCGGAACTCTACACACATGACATTACCTCGTATAAGAACTCAAAGACGCATGCTTTCTCCCATTCCTTACTTTATACAACTTCTGAATTCCACTTCTTAGTAATGCCCTCATATGTTCGCCATTGTGAATTTTTAAATGTTAATTAATTATTGCATAATGATTATCTCAAGCATTAGTATTAATGTGATCTCCCAAAGCTGTTTTAATTTGTTTTTAATTTGAATTCCAAGTCCTTTCACTATAGCAATGATCATATTATATATAATTATTTATGGTAATTGTATGATCTCCCAAATCTGTTTTAATTTGTTTTTAATTTGAATTCCAAGTCCTTTCACTATAGCAATGATCATATTATATATAATTATTCATGGTAATTGTATGATCTCCCAAAGCTGTTTTAATTTGTTTTTAATTTTCCAAGTCCTTTCACTATAGCAATGATCGTATTACATGTAATTATTTATGGTAATTGTATGATCTCCCAAAGCTGTTTTAATTTGTTTTTAATTTGAATTCTAAGTCCTTTCACTGTAGCAATGATCGTATTATATATAATTATTTATGGTAATTGTATATACTTATTTATTTACTTATTATTATGTACTTATATACTTATTATATTTATTTTTTTTTACTTATTAATGATTTAATTCATCCATGTGTTTTTTTACCTTGTTATATTTTTTGTTATACATTTTATATTGTTAACTGACTTGTTTAGTCTTCGGACTTTTTAATCAGTACTTGAATAAAACCAAATATCTATCTATCTATCTAGGGGGTAGTTGTCCTAGGGGTAGTTGTCTGGGGGTAGTTGTCCCGAGGGTAGTCATCCTAGAGGGTGGTTGCCCTAGGGGGTAGTTGTCCTAGGGGGTTGTTGTCCTTATGGGTAGTTGACTGGGGTTGGTTATCCGGGGGTGGATGTCCAGGGGGTAGGTTTCCGGATACGGATCTTTAGATAAATTTTTTTCCTTTGATAATGAACAAAAGATGTAAATTCTCTAGAATTGTGACCATGATTGGTACGTCCCTTTAGACAGAGGTATGAACAACCTGCCATAGTTAAGTCGAACTTAAATTCAATATTTTTCTTTGTGAAACACTCTCCTGATTTGTACAGAAAACATGAATGAACGAATGATTGAAACAATAAAGCAATGAATTAATGAATGAATTAATGTTGGGTTTGTATTTGTCTCATCTTTTCTCAGCGCCCACAGTTGTGGTGGGCTACGCTAACCAGAACAAGGACTTCCCTACCTTAGGGTTCACGGTAGGGAGGGGCAATGGGTTATCAACTACCAGCTGGTCCGGTCAGTGTCATCTCTGTAACGGGGAAGAAGTCCTGTATACGACCTGGACCAACACCCGCCAGGTCAACACGTGTTTCGAAATCAAACGATCGACGCGGTAAGCTTTCAAAATTTCACTTTCGTATATTAAAAAAAAATAAAATCATGATGTAAAGAGGTGAGGAATTTTTGAATTTAGCGCTGTAGCGACCTAATGTGTTATTTTTTCTTCTTTAATTTTGAACAATCAGTTTTGCCATTAACTTGGGATATTTTTTTCTTACCTATTTTCACAAAATGTTTATGGCTATACGATTTATTCTTGAGAGGTGAAGTTGGTATCTTAAATCTGTATATGACTCCTTAGATTGATCTATTCTGAGAGTTCTGAGACGGTATAAAATTGTATCAATCAAGAATGCATCCTATTGTCAGAATTATTTAATGAAAAAATGGAAAGAAAATGTATTCTTATTTTATGGGCATCAGTTTATATCTCTTATACAGAGTTCATTTTAAAATAGTTTTTGCTGAAACGATGAGTTGATAAGAATCTACTTCATGAGTTAAAAACTAACATTGGCGTACAAATTTCATTTAAAAGTCCGTCAAAGAATAAGAGAAGGTGCTATGAGTTGTATGAACTTTTAAAGATCAATATACAAACTGGTAACTAAACAGTGCGTATACAAAAAAACGCACCAAAATAATAAGTTCACGATATCTGCATGATTTGTTTTGCTTATGAAATTATGAGTGGGGGTCTATTCAATCGGATGGCACTAGAAGTAGCTCTAGATATTTTTGTTTTGATAGTGCAAATTGGTTAGCGCAAAAGAGTTTCAGTCTCTTTTTATAACAAAGTGTTTTGTACAAAAATGTCACACAGAGTCCCGTCTTTTCTCTCAAATTGCCTGTGCAAGGACGACTAATTCACTCAACTCATTTTCAAAGCTTGGAAAGCACCGTTTGGTATTTTAATCATCTTTATTATGTTCTCTTCTCCAACTTTCAGGTTGGGACAAGACAAATGGACTCGATACCGTCAAGACATAGCACCACGAAGAGATAGCTAGACAAGAACATTCACTACGGCAGGGGTGTAGCGGGGGCGTCGGCCATTAGTGGAATAGCCACCAATCTTATTAGATGTATGTAGTATGAATTTTCGAGGCTACCTATGAACAACTTTCATGAATTCTCATTGTACAAGTAATGGTTCGATCAACCTTTTCCACTTTTCTCTGCATACGTATTGAACTTATTTTTTTAATCACAGTTTTTTTCTGGTTCTATCATACCCTTGAATAATAGGATTGAAATAATTTCTCTTGTCACTTATCATACTAAGCATTTACGACGTTTACTACAAGAACAAGTTACTATTTTCGATGCATTCAAAGGACTGATGTATTGAGTATCACCTTCTTCACAGGAAAAAAAAAAGACTTCTTATATATTGTTGCTGCTGTTTACATGACATGATCGCAAAGACTTTAAAACCTCAACTCATCAAGAGCAATTTCTTGCAGAATTAATGTCTGGATGAGTAGTGTGTCATGTTCATATTCACACAGATAATGTGCGAGTCCTTGCGATCGTAATAACATTATTGTCATCATTATCATTATCATAGATTTTTGGTGGGGGGGGGGGTTACATTGGTCCCATTTTCATGACGAATGTGATGACATAAATGAACTAATGGATACAATAAATAGTTATGTCACTTTCTGTGAAGACTTACATATTCGATCTAAAGAAATCAAAATCTACCCTAAAGGCAAGCCCTGGTTTAATGGAAAGATAAAAGCAACCATAAAGAAAAAGAAAAACGATTTTAAGAATGGAAATCATGATCCGGTGAAAGAAATGACTAGAGAAATAAAAAGACAAGTCAGTGAAGCAAAGCGAAAATACGGAGAAAAGCTGGAAAAGTGCTTCAAGACAAATAAACCAAGGAATGCATGGAAATGATAAAAAGCAATGACGGACTATTCCAACAAATTTTTCATCCCTGGTGAGCCCCTCTTTTAGAAATGTGAGAAGTACTCCATTTTCACCTCTGATAATTACTTTTTGTACTTTGAAACGAGCTCCTTTTCTTTTCTGATAAGTGTCCCCTCTTTCTCTCATCATTAAACGCGCCCATAATTTCAAGCGACTAACAGCACCTCCTCCTAAAGCTCGCTCGCTCAGCTCGCTCGCATTTTGGATGATATCCTTATGTTACTTATCAAAGGTCTATTCAGTCCCAGTTATACAAAAAATCTGCTCTTAACCCATCAGGATTGGGTTTTTAGCTCTTTATAAGATGTCAAATTTTTCGCACTGCGACCATACAAATCTTTAAAAAATCTCCTCGCTCCATTCGCTAGGTCGCAAATAAATTTGAGGACCATCACACTCAACTGCAAAGTATGATGGTTAAACAATGTCTTGTACTGTGTACAAAGTGAAACAAATATTGAAATCATCCCTGATAATGTAATCACAATGTAAGGGTATATACCAATGTCTAAAAAATTGTATATTTTCGCTTTGGGATTTCCCTTTGAAGATGCCTTTTTTTCTTGGTGCCCCCACCCCCTCCAACCTCGAGAGTCGCTTGGTCGCCCCTGGCCAAAATGATGCATTTCCCGCCCCTTGATCGCATATGAATCGTTGAAAACTCTTATCCCCCGTTAGAATACCTTGATCGTTAATAGATCGGTACAAGTCGTACACAAGTCATCGTAACTCATACCGAGCCCGCGTGACTCGATTATCCATCGTAGGAAACTCGATAATGCGTCGTCTGATAATTCATGCAAATACCATACAAATTATTAAATTTCAGGCGAGTTCACGCGAATTTGCGCGAGTTCAAGCTCGCGCCAGCTCGACACAACTCGAGGCTCCAACTCGGCTAAGTGGGAGCACTGCTTTTAACAGCGTTGCGTAACAGAGGAGACGACCTCGAGCCTTTTGTGATACATGAATCAGATGTTCGCAAACGGTTCAAGCTCATTAACCCTCGAAAAGCACCGGGGCCTGCCGGTGTGGATGGACGAGTTCTCTGAAGACCTGCTCGTCCCAGCTCGCCGTCCCATACGCTATGATATTCCAGACGTCGATCTCCGAAAGAGTAGTACCTGTCTGTTGGAAAGCGGCCGTAGTTACGCCAGTACCCAAGAACAATCGCCCCAGCGCGAATGGGGATTTTCGCCCTAGATCGCGCTGGCATCGATTGTTTTGAAAAGCCTGGAAAGACTGGTACTTGAAAAGCTGACAAGCTCAGTTCTCCCGCTACTCGATCCAAACCAGTTTGCATATAAAGCGAAGTGTCCGTTACCAATGCAGTTCTTACCTTGACAAACACGCTCTACAAACATTTAGATAAGGCAAGGTGTAGACTTTTCGTCGGCATTTAACACTATAGAACCCCCTCATCCTACTACAGAAACTTCAACATCTACAAGTTCAGCCATCTCTTATATTAGGGACTTTTAGATTTGCACGTTTACAGCTTTGACTGCAACGTGTGACGTCATTTTAAGGCACTGGGCATGCGTCACGCCGTCTCAGTCGGTGATCGAGAATGCGTCAACCTTGATTTTCCTAAATCTAGTACGGTACTAGTATATGCCGCGTGCGCATAAAATATACAGTTCCTCAGGTAGACAAAGGAACATCCCTTCCCTGCTATTATGTAAAAATGTGTAGAACAAGTGTCACATGCATATTCACCTGTTCTACACATTTTTACATAATAGCAGTGAAGGGATGTTCTACCACAGCAATAGGCCATTTTTGTAATGTAACCAAATTTAATGCATAGGTCTTTGTGAAGTGCCTCAATACAAACTATTTCATTCACCTGATAAGAATAATAATATTTCAATAGACAGAATCCTAACTGCATGCATTAGTTGTCGCCACGTTGGACAAACATTATGGCTTGACCTACCTAGCAACACTTAATATATGCAGTTGCATTCTGTCTATTGAAATACTACTATTCCTATCAGGTGAATGAAATAATTTGTATTGAGGCACTTCACAAAGACCTTTGCATTCAATTTGGTAACATTAAGAAAATGGCCTATTGTTGAGGGTAGAATGAGGAACTGTATATTTTGTCCTCTTTCTTTGGCTGTCATGTAATTGATAGTGTTACTTCCTGCATTCATGTATATCGTCGAGTGCAATCTAAAAGATATCTAATTGTAGTCAACATGGGCAGTTGAGTACGTTGACACGCATGATCAGTCGGCGTACGTCGTGTTCTCGTCTACTCAATCTAAAAGTCCCTATTGTGGCTGCAAGACTTCCTACATGAAAGGACACAGAAGGTCAAGGTCAACGGTGTTCTCTCTGACGAACTTATCACAATTGGTACCCCACAAGGGTGTGTTCTCTTTGCGACCCCATTTACCCTGTACACCTATGACTATATGTCAAATACTCCATCTGTTCACATACTTAAATATGCAGATGATACAGTAATAGTAGGACTGATTGAAACGTAAAATGAATTTGATTACAGAGCTACCATTTTCATGGTCAAAAATTGGTGTAGGGAAAACTATTTACTGCTAAGAAATCGTTTTTGACTTTAGGCAAAATAAATGTTTTGAACCCATTGATAGACATGTATACTTTAATGATGATACCATTGATAATGTTGAAATTTATAGATACCTAGGCACAGAAATTGACAATAAGCTGTCTTGGGAAGACAAGTCAAAGCTTACCCTAACTAAATGCAACCATCGTATGTATTTTCTTAGAAAGTTAAGGTACTTTCATGTGAACGATAGAATTCTTTTTCTCTTTTACCAGTCCATATTTCAGAGTACTATTTTTTTTTTCTCTTATCCTCAAGCGAGGTTTTTATTTCCATAATAGTAATACATTTGTACATTAATAACTCAATGATTGAGTGGAACATAACATAGGCTAAAGATTAAAGTACATTCAACAATTCTTCCAGCTTAGTATTATTTTCTTTGCTAATACATTCATATCTTAAAAATACTCTTAGCAACGACTTGAATTAAAAAAACAAAGTATGTGGGTAGTAAACAGAACCATTAACAATCTTCTTAACGTAACATTTATAAATTGCATATTGCGCATAATTTAAAATAACATTCAGAAATGAATATTTCTTGTTTCCAATATCCTTACCTACAACTATTATCTTCTGGTCTATTTGTATTTCTATTTGGAATAGATTAAATATCAAATTACATATTATTTTCCAAAACAAAGTCACATCCTTGCAATATAACATAAAATGAAAAGTTGAGTCAACTTGTCCACAAGAGTTGCATAAATTATTATTAACAATTTGCCATTTATATAAGTTTTCTTTTGAGGCAATAAACCTATGAATCATCTTGAAATTAAATTGTTTAACTTTATTATTACGAATTTGCTTTAATTTAAATAAAAATACATCCTTCCAAACAAAGTCATTATCCAAATCTAAAAAGAAATTCCAAAAGTAAATGATATTTGGTTACTTTGACTTTTTACGTAATAACAAACGATAGTAATCCTTCACTTTCATAACAAAAACATTAACTTTATCCCCTGTTTCTATTTCTATCATATTCGAAATATCACATTCTTGTTCAAATTCATATCTTAATCTATCCAACCAACACTGTGGAAATGCTTTCTTTAATTTTGTATATTTAAAATCAAATAAGAGCTGGTGTGCTTTCACCTTTGTATTTAGTATTGTAGAATCATTCCAAATACCATTTGTAATCAAATTGTGAATTTTCAATAAACCGGCCTCTTGCCATTCTCGATAAAACAGTATATTTTTCTTAAAGGTAATGTTACTATTTTTCCAAATAATTTCATTTGGAATATTTCTTACTTTAAACATATCAATGAATTTTAGTTCTGACCAAGTACAAAAAAGATCTACATAGAATTCTGGCAAATTATGTTTAGAGCATAATAAATTCACATCCTTTAAGTTACAATTGAAATGTAAACATAGTGGCAAACCCCCTATTTTGTCGGACCAGTATCTAAACATATTTTTCCAATAAGAGCCATTATCATTAAAAAAACGA